TATCTAAACGACATTTTTATCTTGTTGATGTATGCTACTTCAAGCAAAATTTACATATTTCTACTTTTCCATTTTAATTTAAAAACTATGAAAGTACATAAAGTCAACATAAAATAAAGCTAAAGGAAAAAAAACTCACTAGGTATTTATTCATTGTCTGCTGCTCTCAGAAATGTGTGAAAGACTCTGGAAGTAGACCTGGGAGAAGCAAATGGAGTCCAGGACGGAAAGAACTGTGGTAGCTTGCACCTAGATTCTACAGTCTCCTGTCCAAACTGCTCTCCACATTACCTGGAAAAGACAAAAGTGAAAGACAGTTCTGGGTGAAAACAGTGTCTACACTTTTAAAATGGGATCCACAAGTCCATTTATGATATGATTCAGACTTACTGTTTTATTGACCCATAAGCTATTTAAGTCATATTTCCTAATTTAAAATAGTTTAGTCTAAAAATTAAAAATTTCTCAGATGCTAAGATCTCTTTTCACCATAATATTCCAGGTAAAGATGTGTGTAATGTACTTTTTTTTTTTCATAATGTAAAATTTCGGGGTAAACTGTCCCAGAAAAGTCTTCCAAGGACTGGATTCATTCCCTTGTAAATCGCCTTTGATAATGACCCGGACTTTAACATTGAACTTGCTTGGCCTAAGGGAAACTGCATATGGGCATGGGGGTGGTGGGGAGGAATTTTCCAGGGATACTTGCCTTCTGGGACACTGACAGCCTGGGAAGATACCGGGGGGTTAGCTGGCTATCAGCGACAGCCCTGATAAATGCACCAAAAAGGAAGTGAAATTCTTACCCAACCAGCCGCAGTCAAGGCACCAAGTAACTACACCTTCACATGTCACCCTGGCAACACAACCCAGAGCAACTGGTGGGAGGAACCAGCTCCAACTGCAGAACATCCAACTTTCAGTAATGAATGGTTGGGCGCGAACTTTAAAAGCCCTAGATTGGGTCAGATCTTAACACAGAAAATGTTCAATGATCCATGTAGTTCTCCACACTCTGTCGCTAAAAAATCATGTGCGCGAGAAATTCTTTAAATTACGTGACAAATAACTATCAACAGCACTTTACAGTCACACTTAGAACTACTAAAAAGCATGAAAAAAGTCAATTATGAGGACGTGAGCCCCGTGTTGCCCTGCAGGTTGCCCACAATACCCAACTTTTATTCCTGCGCCTAACCCACCTGTCTGCTCCCTCCCTGCTGCGCGCCTGTTCAAATTACTCGTGTCCCCCTCACCCCACACCTGCACTCAGGACCCACCCACCTTTCCTCTCCATCCCATTCACCTCACAACCACCTTCAGAGACAAAATCCACTCAGAAATCCGCGGCAGCAGCACCACGACCGACGGCACCGGAACTTCCGGGAAAGGGGGCGGAGAAGGGAGTTGCACATGCGCAGAAGAAACCGGAAGTCCATTCTGAGGCCCTATGAGGAAGCACCATAGCCGATCAAGACTACATTTCCCAGAAGTCTGTGCACAGCCGAGGCGCCTACAAACGTCAGTTCTTTAGCGGGTGGGTTTCGTCGCTCAGAGACGACCCGTAGGCGGAACCCTCGGAAACTAAGGGGACGTGTTAACTGTATCTGGGTGTTGAGGAAAAGGAGGGGTCTGAGTTGTCCCTAGAGAAGCGATTTCCTTACACTCCTCCCTCCTGCTCGGCCCGTGGGGAGCCTGGAGGTCTGCTGTGAGAGGTGTTAATCGTGACCCTTAGCGAGAGCGACACTGCCTAGCCTGGGTGGCGGAGCCCTCGAGCGAGGACTGAGGGGGCCCTCGGGCGTGTCTACAGAACTTCCTCTCTCCTTTGAGTTCCGCGGGTTTACGGGAGAATGGACTCTCTTTGTCGGGTTACCTGGGGACCCCATGGAGGAACGGAGGAACCTGTTAAAGCCGGTGACTTCGGCTGTGGTCTCGGGGGAAGAGGCTGATGGAGTGGAACCTGCTGCTGGGAACCCACCCAGTCTCTCTGTTGAATCGTCTCACCACCCCTACACCTCTGGCTGTACCATAGTTCTGTATGCATAAATAAAAAGAAAATTAAAAAACATTTTTAAAAAGAAGTTTCATCTGCTTTTCTAATGTCCCCCTGAAATAAAAACCA